TTTCAATTCAAATTCAAAAAAGGCACATCGGCCATTACGTTTTAAGGGCTCACTGGCCTCTACATGTTCAGCACTGCGGCCGTTACACTACACTAATTGCAAAAAAAATATACAAAAAGGAATTAAGCTTCCTGGTCAGCCCCACTGGCTTTCTCGTTGCCAACTCCCCCTCCGGCCTGGTCATCATAAACTCCTGCTTCAGCCTCATGCTCAGCATCCCCATCAACAGTGGCCCAAGACGCAACTGTGTCTCCAAGCATATCGTTGTCGCTCCACTCATCCTCGTCGACGGAGGAGCTCAAAATGGGGAGTTGCCTTTCCTTAAGATCGGCCTCCAGCTCCTTCATCTTCCGGGGCAACTTCAATTTGGCAGTGAAGCTCCGGGTCAGCTTCAGTTGGCGGAAGCGCCGGCGAAGCCTTCGGTAGATGAGCCGCTGCATTCGGTATTGACCTGTGTCGTAGAAGACCTTCATCTCCGTCTCCCAGAACTACTGGCCGGCAGGGCTATTCCGAGTCCAGTCCTCAAATCGGTCCGCGACGACATCCCAGCACCATGACCGGTGCTCATCCTCCTTCCATCCTTCCTTCAGGAACCTCTGGATAGCGGCCTCAGCGGCCTTTTCTCCAGCAACCTCAACAGCTTTCTCAGCCTCGATTTTGGCTTTCTCGGCCTCCTTAGCCCGATGAAGAGTTTCATCATAAGCTTTCTCTAAATCTGCCAGTTTTTGGAGGGTCACGTCCCTCTCGGCGGCGAAACTTCGGGTGCCAGCATCGGCCTCGTCGGCCTTCTTCTTCAAGCCCGCTACCTCTAGCCGCAGTTGGTCCAAGCTGCTCTGGGCCTCTTCGGCCTAGGCCGCCCTTTGCTCGACGAGCCTTAGGCGGTCAATTTCCTCTTGTTGTCTCTTGTGGCTCTCCATCAGCCTGAACAAAACAACACGACAGTTAGGACGACGGAGACACAATAAAACACAACAACAATACGACAAAGTATGAAAGGATAAACTTACTTGGACAAGGTTGTCTATCCCGCCGTCATAGATCCAGACGTCACCCAACCCATTGAGATACGCCTGATCTTCATAACGGACGGTCAGGGAGATCACCTCATGGCCGTTGACGAACTCATTGAATACGTCGCCTTTCACAGGATATTCGGCAGCGCGTTTGTACGTCCCTCTGACCAGCTCTCGGTCAGACCCCTTCTTCCGGGAACCTTGGGCATCAGGGGGAGGCTGGGAGATGTAGCAGATGAAGGACTCGAAGTGAGGTCCACCACAACGTCAGCATTAAAGCCCTCGTCGTCTCTAGCTGGAACAGTCAAAGCTCTGGCACCAGCACCCCGGAAGGGGGAGAAGCCCTCTTGGACTTCTTGGAAGGCTGCAAGCCAGCCTCAATCAGCCTCTTCTACCCCTCATCAGCCGGCCTCTTCTTCTTCGGCTGGGCAGGAGGCTTCTTAGCCGGGTCAGACTTTGGCTGATCTCCGCCAGACGGCATTTGCTTAGCTGCCTGCTTGGCCGCAAGTTCTTCGGCCGCCTTCTTGGAGGCCTTCTTCATAAAAGACGTGTGGTCCTTGACGAAGTTTGCACAACAAAGATCAAACGGGTTAGTAAGCAAGAAAATAAAGCAAGTGGTGAGACCAAGGACGCTAAGAGGATATTACCATCGACCTCAGCAGGAACCCCCAAATAAGGGCCATCGGTCTCCTCAAAGGACGTGGTCATCTTCGGCCACAGGTCATCATCTTCGTCTCCATAAACAAAATACCTAACGAAGCTGAAAGCGGCCATCTTATACTCTGTGATGTAGTCCTTCACGCTCCTCGGCCCATCCTTCAGAAACTCCTCCACTTGAGCATCAATAATGGCATTCTTCGGCAGCTCGTGGAGATTGAAAGATTCAGAGTGGCGTACCGAGGGGAAATCACCTCCCTCGCCCAAGGTCACGAAAACAAACTTGGATTTCCTGCCATGGATGGACGAGGGGAGATCAGTGAACGGTCTCCTGTTCTTCACCTGTTGGAGGTTAGCGTAGCCGGCACAGTTCGTATGGCTGCCTTGGCCTATCTGATACAGATTCATAAAAAGGGTCGTCATCGGCACGATACTCAACTCTGACGGCACGATCAGCGAGTAGCTGTTCGGGGTCAGCAAGGCCGGAGGGAGACCCACCATATCCAAGTACTCCGTTATGAAGGGATGCAGGGGAAATCTGAGGCACTTAGCAAAACTCATGGGGTACACTCCAAAGTACCCCGCCGGCGGGTTGAGGACATGATCTGTCGGTCTGGGCACCCTAACCCTACCGTATGGCCCTACGTACATCTGGGCGACGTAATATTCACCTGCGCTGCTCTGCGGCTTGATGATGTACAGGTTGGTGAGATCCAAGAAGGAGACGTCCGGACCTTTCTTCGGCCGACGTTTCCCCTTCGGTCGAGCGGCATCGTAGAGGCATACCCCTTGACAGCGGACAGAGGATCAGGGCACGAAATAACGGCTGACGTGGAGGCTCCATCTCCTGCACGAGAAGTTCCAATGTCCTCACCCGATGACGACGAAGCCGCATCCTCCTCCACACTCTCCCTGTCATCCATTTGCTCCCCTGATTTGAAGGAGCTCATCTCGTCTATCTCCTCGCAACACTCCTCCACAATTTTAAAGTCCAACGACTTGGTGGAGGCTTCATCATCGTAGGGGTAGTACTCTTCGTCCAATGATTTGGCCATAACGAACTATTCGAGTCCTAAGGGAAATTACTTTGGATCTAAGTAAGGTTTCCTGCTAACACTAGATCAAAGCCTAAGGAAGCAAAATATACAAAAGGAAGGAAGAACGGGTGAAGAACTAACCTTGAAGATTTGGAGATGCGAAGAACACTACGGGAAGCCCTCTCTCTAGAAAATCCAACAGCACTTCATTATCTCAGGACGTAAATGAGGAACTCACCTCGGATGGGAGGGGTATTTATAGACCCCTCCCAACGGTCACTAAACGTGGCATCCTCCCACTAGCGGCACCAACGGTCACGACACGTGGCACCCATACAGTGGGTGCACCAACGGTCACCACCCATTAGTCCCAAGAAACGCAACCCTCCGGATTTCTTTAAGGGCCTAGACCTCCCCATCTTCTCCAGCCTTATCAACTAAGGCAGAAGGACAATGCAACGGCCCATCAGTTCAAGGTTTGCGCTCCAACGGCCACCACATGGTGCGGTACCACCTCTGCAAAAACACGACAAGGGCATGCTTGCTTCGGCCAAACTAATCTCCAACAACATGGCCTCTTCAACGGCCAAAAAACCAAGTAAAGTATGACCTAACAGCCATCGGCCCCTCGTACAAAACCTACTGATGATAATCTCTAGTCTGCGACCTGCGTCCAAGGGTTCTCCCATAGGGTTACCTTGGTCAGGAATCACCAAGAAATTGGATTCAGGGGGGATGCGAGCGCTCTGCTTCGACCTGGGGTTCTATCTTACTCCTTCACTCCTCACTTACTCTTTGGCCTTATGGAGTGGGGGACTGGGGGACTGTATCAGCCTCCACATGCTCCAAAAGATTCCAGAGTAAGCAAAAGTGCAAAAAATGCAAAGGACCACAAACCAAAGATCGTGGTATCAAAACACCCTCAACCATGTGATCCACCCTTGGCCAAAATGATAAGGATACCATGCAAAAATGCACCAACACCTCAAAGTCCACAAGTGTATGATCCACCAGCTAAATTCAAAGGCACAAAGGCAGGACATTCATCGTCCCAAAAGTTGAGGGCACACAACGTCCTATGGGTAAGGACCCCCACCGTGTACTCAAGCATAAGGGCACACATCATCCTCAAGGCCATAGACACACAATGTCCACACACAACGTCCTCAGGGCAATGACACTCATCGTCCACATTACCAACCAGACAAAACGCCCCATAACGACCAACCAAGACTACCAAACCACGAATGTTTTCGCTTCGCCCTACAATACCAACAGCATTTACAGTGCCTCCTCGGCCAGAAGCGCGAAAGATAGCAAACGGCTGCAAAGGTAACCATTACACCCTCACAACTAAGACCGCTCATCGTCTTCAATACCAGGGGCATTCACCGTCCGCGGGAATAGGGTACCCACGACGGCTCAAAAGGCAACAGCAAGCATCAGCCACCGGGTGGTACCGTCTCGGACAGGAACACCAGAGCTCCAAGGTAATCCTCTGTCGGCCAAAGCATAAAGACAAACAAGAAACTACTCTCTTTCACTTCGTCTACATCTCAACTCAGGGAGTGGGGGACTCCTGATGGAGTATATGGTTCCAGACCCCATGACCCACATACTCAGAAGACTAAGAGGAAGCGCAGTTGTCACCTAGTGGGTCCTCCGTCGGCCAGATGGTCCCACATTGGCTAGACATACATCAACTCACTATATTACTACCTATGTTCTTAAATAAATGCAACATGTTGAATTTTACACCATTCACATTTTGTACTTGACAGCATTTTATCTAAATTAAAATTAAATTTTTTGAAAATACTGTTAAATTCCTCCCATTTAAATTGTCATAAACTGATTTTTTTTTAATTTTTTACTAATAAGGAATGAAATGTATAGATGGTTAAAGTTGTCCATTCGCAAACGTGAAAATGAGTCTTGCAACTACAAAACGGAGTAAGAATTGAAAAAGTACTGCGTAACAAATTCAAATTGAACCAAACAAAACCAAAACATAGTACTCCGTATAGTTTTTGTTTGTTAATCATTCCTCTCATCCGTTTTATCCCGAACCAAACACCGAAAAAAACCGATATGCCCACCCCTATAATGTCTACAGTTGGGAATAATTACTCTCAAAATAGAGCGGTGTCAATGGAAAATATGGTATTCTGTTTTACAATTTCAAACCTCTCTTCTATTGCGAGAAATTTTTCATACTTATTGGAATTATCAGCCATATTATTTCAATAAGATAAACCAGTTTGTAATAGTTGTGCTGTCAAAAGCTAAATACCTTAATCCAAATTTGAAGAATTGAGGGCGTTGTAAAACTGGGTGAATCGCCTGCGATTTTCTGGTTTGGGCTTGAAGGGCTTCTTCCTCAAACCGAAGATTTCTTGGATAAGAGGAACATGAACCAACACCAACTTCCACGCCAAGAACCAACCTGCGATAAACACACCGTAACGGACCACCACTTGGGTTGGTTCAAATTTTTTTCCATATATATTAAAAAAAAAACTTTAGATTTGACCCGAGATTTGTTGTAATGGAGATTGGGAAATACCAAATAGGAGTAAAGAGAGGACAAAGATGATTGCGGAAATAGGGCGAAGGCAGAATAAACAGAAGTATTCCCAAGATGAGGTCGAGGTCAAGGTCAAATTAGATTCATCCATTAAAAATCAAATGGCGAGAATCGACTCCTACAGCTCGCTTGTGCCTTGGATTCCTCACCTGGTTAACTGGTTCAGCCCTTCAGTAGACAGTAGTAACTAGTAACTGGATTCCTCACCGCGCGGCGTCCGGGTTTGAGGCGGCGGCGGCGTCCGGGCTTGAAGCGGCGGCGGCGTCCGGGCTTGAGGCGGCGGCGTCCGGGCTTGAAGCGGCGGCCCTCCTTGTGTCGCTTGCACTCTTGCAGACCCTGTTGCAGATTTTGGATATCGGGAATTCGAGATTGCCGTGTCCCTCACTCGGGGAGTTCTGGGAGCCAGTCTTCTCTTGCAGTCTTCCGCCTTTTTATAAGGAAAATTCCAAAATTACACATTTTCGTGGCAAAAAAAACTGCAGGTGTAAAAGCATATACACAAAAAAGTGTGTACCTCAAATCCAATTTCTTCTATAATCAAAAAATCTATTCGTACACGTTTTCTTATACACGTTCTTATATAATTGTCTGTGGTAAGTCATTTTTTTGTCTATGAACGAGATTCACAGACAAAACTTGTCACTGGATATTTTTTTGTCTGTAACAGACAAAACACTCCAATTCACAGACAAAAAAATGACCTGTCACGGATAAGTGTATAAAAAAGTGTATAAGAACTGTAGAAATAGAATGACTCTTCTATAATTCCCTGGACATGGGTTAGTGGGCATTTGGGCTGGCAGAATTGAGGATTTTGTCCTAAAAATCGAAAATCTAAAATCGAATCATAACTAAATTTAACCAAATCGCTAAAAACGAAACAGAATGTAAAAGTACGAATTCAACTTTGGTTTGGTTATGGTTTTTACCTTTCCTATAAACGGATAAACCGAACTATTCAAAATATAAAATTTTATTTATTAATTGATAAGGATTGATCCTAATATTATCGATAGTCTCTGGTTTTCTTATGCTAGGGAATTATTGTTTGTGTTATGATTTGTTTTGTTTATAAATGTGTTTACATACTCATTGTCTATAATAATATAGTTATATTGATTATTGACCTACTATGTTTTTTGCAATTTGTTGCATGTTGGGATATATTTTTACTAACTAGTCCTACTAACTTACTTTTATTTTTATGTAATTTAAACTGTTTATATTGATAGAAAAAATTAATATTCATCTCAATTGTATCAATAGAACGTATATATTCTTAAACTTTTTCAAACTAGTCGCAAAAAATGTAAATTTAAAATATATACACTTTTGATCCCAAATTTGGAAGGGTATATTATCTCTCCATTATAGTCATATAATTCAATCCTTTCTAATGTATCCAAAAAAAATAGGGAAAATTGTCCTAAATGCATAGTACTGCAACTATTTGGTAGTCATGACTAAAAGATGGCAGTAAATGTCGTCGTCATACTCCTATTTCGGGAATGAAAAACATAACCGTCCTATAGTTATGTTTTAATTCATAACCCTATTTAGTCCTATTTTGGGAAATCTCCCAAAAAATAGTCACATAATGCAATACATAATTATTTCTTCTCTTTTTTATTTTATATATTCTAGTATGCTTGCATTTCTTATGTAATATTCCTGATCACCCAACTATCATATCATTTTAAATCAAATGAAAATTCTTCATTAAAAAAATCGAAAACATCGAAACCGACCAAAACAAATCGAACCAGTCAAACCGTGATTTCAAATTTTGAAATGTAAAATCGAACCGAATTTTGTACTATGATCCTGTATTTAATTTTTGGTCAAAACCGAATCGAAAGAACTAACTTCACCCCCTAGCAGAATATACCTAATAATACTATTATGTATTACTTCGTTTTGGGCCTTCGCTATTTAGGGGCCCTATGCCATTGGATTAGGTTCCCTACCATGGGTTGGCCTTGTTTTTTTGTAAACGAAGAAACCAGTGTTCGTTTTTAAAATCGTTGATTTTTGTGCAAAAAAGTGTACACTCATGGGGCACAAGCCAACAATTGGCATGCAAAACAAAGTTTGTGTATACAAATAATAATTATCTGACTGAATAAATTATGAATTTTTCAAATAGATTTTTCACTCAGGTAATAACTTGTTGTATGCGTGCAAATCACAACTTCCCCGCTACTATTTATGATGTCTTTGGATTACTTTTTATTATCTTAAATGACAAGTGTATAAATCTGAAATGTCACAAATATCCTCATCAAACTACACCTAACCAGTATGTCTCCCACATTGTAGATACTATCAACGAGCATATAAGAAAATGGGGTTTCAACTTGGTTGAGGACACAACACGTAAGGGGTTTTCATAATCTCATCGATAGCCGTATAGCACTATCAAAAATGTTATTTATACACATAAAGTGTATACACTCCATACGGCATACACCCTATAAATACCTCTCCATTTTTACTTTTCTTTTTTTATATCTTACCCTTTCTCCCCTTCCCTCTCTCTTCTTTCATTGTTTCTTTCTTCGATACGGTTCTCCCCCAACTAACTCCTTCTTCCTCTTTTTCTTTGTTCCATTTTCATCTTCATCATCTCCTCTCTTCATCATTAACATCACTAGATTCTCAGCCGTGCGATGCACGGAATATAAATAAATAATAATTATACTACGTATGATATTAATAATTAACATTATTAGTTAATATGTAAGAGAATGCAAAGAGTATACACTAACAAATTAAGGAAAAGATTGTTATGACTTTTAATGGGCAGAGGGCATGTTTTCAAATAAGAAGGGATAAATAGGTCTAGGTTAAAAAGAACATTAAATAGATATTGCATTAAGGTTTCTACAATCTACACATTTCAAACGCGCCTTAAATGATTACGATTTTCTACTCTCGATATTGCAACATAAAGTTGATTATGGTGAACGTTGATTTTTTTGATGAGTCAAAATAATAAAAAGGGCAAATAATTAGTTATAAAGATTAGAATTATAAAATTATTAAAGTAAATAGTACCACTTTTTTAGTCGGCGAAAATGTTATAATATGTTTTTATGAGGCCACTGATTTTTTCCAACATTTTTTTTCCAAAATGGTTACTATTAATCATTAGGTTTTTAATGATATTATTTGAATATAATATACATAAACCAACTAATTTATTAATATAAATGAAATAATTTTACTAATCTAATAATTAAAAAAAAAAGATAATATTAATTGATAATTTTTTCAAAAACACAAAAATGGGACCATTTTAAATGCCCATTGCAATTTGAAAACCCCAGCCCAACATACAAATTAATATTACACGAAGTATAATCTACCTACCCACGTCCCAACTACCCATATTTCATATCCGTATAATAAACATATATACGAAATCCTAGTACTCCTTACATAAGCACCTTAAGACCTATCGCCGCCCAGTATCGATCCGTACATTAGACCTCCATCTAACCTCCACCTCTTTTCATCCAACCTAACTCCACCGGTCGTTTTTCCTCTTAACTTCCACACCATAGAAGTAACAATGAATCAGATGTTGTCCGAAGTTTGCTTTTCAAAATTCAAAATTGACGTTGGAATGATGCGGCGCATATCTGGAGCAATGATGGGCTGTAGGTTTGACCTGAATCGAGCGAAACCCTAGCTGTGGATGGTGTTTGCGGACTGGTGTATACGACCAGAGCATTCGAGTGGTGTGTGGACCTTACTGACCAACAATGGGTATTTTCAAACTCTATTTTGGGTATATTTTTAAATTTGAACTATATATGGCCTTTGTTTTTTTAAATGATTTCTATTGGATATGAAATCTTCCTGCTAGGTATTAGATACGGAGGACTTTCCATGGTGAGGGGGAACGGGTTGTTTTTGTGTATTCAAATCTATCAATTCAAAGTTATTGAATCAGATTTTTTGGGGGAAAAAACTCAAGCTAATTTGTTAATCAGATGTCATACATAACTGAACACATATATGACTTGTATCATTACACATCTAGTTTACAGTTTAGTTAATAATCCTATTCTTTTGGTCTACTATAAGTGTTGGGAAATCATAGTACTTTCTTTTGGCCAATTTCCTTTCTGTCGCTCAAAACATTCCCCAACCATAGAGCCAATGTTTCTTACAGTCTTCTCTTATAATCCGTTTTTATTGGCCTGTTTAAACTACTTAGTGGTTGCCATTTGTTAGTTTTCCGTGATGGAAAAATTATACCCCTCAATGAGCACCGAGCATACAGTGTTAAAAATCCCTTTGTACACTGTTTTATAGATTGTTTAAAAAGTGCTTATATAAAAAACCTTGTTTCAGTTTTTACACTGAAAAGTCTAAACACTACAAAGATGTATAACTTTTGTACCCAAAACTATCATATAAATCCATGTTCTCATATTTCTTATATATATTGTAATTGTTTTAATTTGGAAACAGATTCATACACACACACATATATGACATGTACATGTTATTGAAATCTGGAAGACTTCATTTACAGGTTATTATGGTGCTTTTGGTGATCTTCTTCATATCAATAGCTATTATGTATACAAAAAAGACAGTATTATAAGTGTAGTTGTATGTGAATGTAAAATGAAGTTGAGTCATCAATGGTGGTTTTAAAACTCTTTCACCATCCTATTGTTTACATACCCTTGTGGTTACTTGTATGTTGGTCTATCACATATAACATGATCAAGTAGGGATGATTTATGGGTTTGATACTTTGGTAGCTATCTAGTACCAAAAAGTTCCTGGTACCATACATACAATTTTCTATTATTTTTTACTTGTGCATCTCTATTTGAGGCCTCTTCACTCTAGCATTAATCCTTCAACCCTGTCATACTATTGAATGTTAATAGTCCTTAGTGAAATCATAAAAAGAAGTCATGTTACAATCTATATTCAATTAAACGAACGTTGAGGTAAAATATTACCTTTTGTATTGCTAAACCCGTATTTGATGAACTCATCGGAATTGCTCAGTTGCCATGCTCAGTTGCCAAGTAGTTTGGATGTGATGTGGTCTTAAACTGCCAAGTCAAGTGGTATTTATAGCCATTTAAAATCTTGTAATCATTGTGCTTTAACCAATGGATTTTAGGATGATGTTGTAGCATTAAATGTTCTCTTCAGCCGCACATTTTTTTGATATGTTCACACAGGTGAGATATTAAAGTACACTCCATTTAATAGTTTTTTATATGAAATCTGAACTTTAATATATGAAAGTACACTCCATTTAATGTCGTGTATGGAGCCTTGAGCTTTGCATTTAATGCCCTTATAGAGCCATGAACAATCTACGTACAATGCTTTACACAGTCCCTTTTTTAATATTAAAATTGTCCTCTACATGTCCTTTTTATTGAGCCCCACACATTGCTTTATTGGGTGATGGCCTGTGCTGGCTGTGCATTTAATGTTGTAACATTTTAGCCACACAATCTTTAAAACACATTAATACCGACCCAGTTACCCAGCTGAACAAAACAGCTGTCAGCCAAGATTTGAAGACCCGACCCGACCCACTGCAGACCCACCCGACCCGTGAGTGTGATGTTTTTGAGCGGGAACACTGTTCATATTTTTCTCTTTCTTTTGTATAATATAATATTTTATAACCTTCTATCTTCATTATCTCCATCATTTTCCATTTCCCTATCTTTCATATCCATCATCTCATCATTTTCACCACCTTTCATATCCACCACTTCATCCTTTTTACAACTGTTAGCTTCTAGGATTGGGGAAAAAAGAAATTTGAGTCACCAAAAAAATAGAGTTAAATCGCTGGATTTTTTGTCTGTGTATACAGACAATGGTTTTTTCAGTGTCTATGTATCAAGACAAAATTGCTATGAAACAAACAAGAAATGTACAAATTACTCGTGTACAGACATTGATTGATTTCTGTGCAACCAAACGTTTTCATTTCTGTCATACAACACAGAACCCAATGTTCGTATACAGACATTTAGTTGCATGTACACAGACATTTTTTATACTTTGTTTGTATTGAGCAATTTTGTTTGTGTGCCTAGACAAGTTGTTGAGCAAAGATAAAAATTGTAGAAATTGTCTTTATATAGACAACTAAATGTTTGTGTAGAGAGACATTGATTTCCGTGCAACCAAACTGTGACATTTCTGCGACACAACATGCAAGCCAATGTGTGTGCAGATACATTTAGTTGTCAGTACACAGATAATTTGTATAATTTTTTTCTGTGCTTAACAATTTTGTCTGTGTACACATCCATTGAAAAAAACAGTGCATGTATACACAGACAAGAATTCTAGTGACTTTAATTCCAGCGACTCAAACTTTTTGTTCCCAAATCGAGTCTAGAAGATAATAATGGTATAGATGATGAGGTGATGAATATGGAAGATGGTGAAGATGGCAGATGATGAATATGGGGTGAGATTGATAGAAGTGGAAGATGATGGAGATGGTGAAGATGGAGATCTATGGTGGTGTTGGATGTGAATGTGATGAAAATGGGGGGAAAGAAGGGGAAGCGGGGGGTGTTCATATGAATGAGAAGGGGAGAGGGGGAGGGGTAAAAAAAGTGGTGGTGGGGGGGTTATATAGGGTGTGGGGAATGTATACAACATTTTTGTACAAGTAGCATTAGATAGCACTATAGCACGATGATAAATGAAGTATGTTGGGCTGAAATAAAGATTTTTCTGATAATTTTTACACAATTGTTAGGATATTGTATCCCGATCCACTATTATCCTGAAAGCCCAATATACTCCCTCGGCCCATATGGAGCTAGGTCAGTGGGTTTAATTTCGGTCCATTAGGGTTGAAATGCACCACATCCCTTTTTTATTTATAAGAGGATTTTCTCCTCTTTTGGAAACACTCTTCTTCTTCTTCTTCTTCTCCATCACTCCTCTCTAGAGCATCTTGATTACTCCATTAATGAGAGCTCTTTTACAATGCAAATGGTGATGAGTGTTCATACATATCTATACATTTTATATACTATTCGTGTTAAAAACATATCTATACTTTTTTTATATACTATTCGTGTTGAATTAGCATCGACAATAATATTTTTAACACATTAAATCAAATTTTTTTGCAAATTTATAAAAAAAACATACTTTTGATTAAAGAAACGTACTTCCCGTGTTCATAAAAAAGGAATAGTCAAAAACATACTTCCTGTGTCCCAGATTGAAATTTTAAGATTGATTTATGGTAAAGTTAAATCATCCATGCAGAAAGTCAAATAAGTTTTAATAATTAAAATTTACATATATGGAAATTACATTGAAAATTTTATAAAATTGCAAAATTCACATTAGAATATAATAGATATATATATTAAATAAATAGATAAAGTGAAACTGTGTTAATTAAGAAAAGTAAACTTTCCAAATCATTTTGGGATGGAGGGTGTGTATATTTAGGATGCTTTTACTTGGATTGTTTTTAGTCCCAGACCAAACTAGACCAGATGGTCCAGATCGAATTTGGATAGTTATAAAACACACAAAGACTAGACATTTATCAGACCATAAAGTTTTGGTCCAAGTAAAAACATCCTTAATGTAGAAAGGAAAAATGTCAATTGTATCTTACACATGTACCAAATAAATGACCAAAATATTTTATCTTATTGATTGATTAAAGTGTCAGAAAACTTGCATCTTAAACATTATGTGTGTTTACATTACTTATAAAGTATTATTGTTTGATTATTTGATTATTATAAAAATTATTTACAGTTTATTTTAATTCAATATACAACCATATATGCTTATATTATTATAAAAAAATATGGCTAGGGGACTTAGGAGTTGTTTACTTTTTTTCTATTAAGTCTTGTGTTGATTATGACGTTAGTCTGAAACTCTGAATTAAGATGTCTGTCTGATTAAGTGATATTTATATACTTCGTATAAGGTTATTTATTTTGTGTGTTCAATAAATAGTTTGAATTGAGCAGAATAATCAATTTAGTATCATTCATGAGTTATAATATCAATGCGAACTTTCATTTATTAACATTAATATATTCCACAATTGATTTAAATTTTTTACGAAAAATACATATTAATGGACGCCTTAATGGGAAGTACTATTATTTTCCAACTTGATGATTAAGTCAATTTTTTTACTAATGATTAAGTCACGCTTTTAATGGCTGAACGGTTAAATCACCATTCTCATTAAGTTCATTAGTCGAATGTAAATTGACACTTAACCGAGTCCATTCCCAACACAGGTTTTAAAATATACTTTGTAGATTTTTCTTTAGATAAAACGGTATTGATGATACACAAAAGGTTTAAATATGTTTCTCGTGACACTAAATATAGTACATTTTGTTTTACACCTCTTCAAAATTGTTGTTTTTTGTTTTTTATATATGAAATTTATGGTGCTTTTCTATTTTGACAATTCCCTAAGAGAACAACACCCTTTTTAAAATGAAACAACTCCAACTAAGGATGTTTTTAGTTAGACTGAAATTTTCTAATTTGATCTGATCTAGTCTGATATGATGTTGTCTGGTCTAGTAAATTTCTTATCACTGTGTATTTTATAATTGTACAAGTTTAGTCTAGTCTGGTCTGGTTTGACCTGGTTTGACTGGTATGATCTGGTTTGAGAATGAAAACAATCCAAATAAAAATATTCTAATAGGTTTCCTCTAATCTTGGTCATGTTATTCAAAAAGTGTTTTATTTTATTTTTTTAAAAGTTTTATACATATTTTAAAAATGTGAATAATTAGTTTTACATTATTTTAACTCTCATATTAGTCCCAAAGAGATTATAAAATGATAACATTTAAAAGTTTCTAATAGATTTATGCAAATCATAATAACTTTTTTCTAAGGCTAAAGGGTCAAATAGGTACATGAACTAACTTAAAGTGTTCAATTAGCCCCTTATATAGGAGGTTCTGCTCGGCCGTCGCAATTGGGGCGGTTCCTGGTAGAATTTTTTTATGAAATTTTTTGAGCATCTTCTTCATTAAGTCTAGTTTACCCATACCAAATGTCAGCTAAAAATTCAACCGGGAAGGCAGTCAAATGATTTTTTGAAGATAACTGCACAGTTAAACAGCGCAGTGCATTTTGGAAAATCATTTGACTGTCTTCCCGATTTAAGTTTTAGCTGAAATTTTATATGGGTAAACTAGACTTAATGAAGAAGATGCTCAAAAAAATTCATCAAAAAATTCCATCGGGAACCACCCCAATTGGCCACGGCCAGACAGAACCTCCTAAATAAGGGACTAATTGAACACTTTAAGTTAGTTCATGTACCTATTTGACCCTTTAGCCTTTTTCTAATTAGAGTGGTTTCGGAGTTAGAGATAAATTAAAAAAATAAAATAATACATACGTAGTATTACACAGATGAAAAACAAAAGAAAAATTACAAGAACCTACACCAAAGACTATTACAAGAATTAGAAATTTATTTAAGTTTACAGAAAAAGTTACAACACTCCCTCTTGATTGACAGTCCAAAACTTATTTAAGTTTATTACAGAAAAAAAAACTTGCAATACTCCCTCTTGATCGAGAGTCCAATCTAATAATGCAACACCGACACTATTTTATGTGTTTTAATATACTTTCCACAATATTTTTATGTTTACACCAGTAGCTTCTTTTTGAACAAAAAGCAAGTTCAATCTGCCCAACCCCGTACTACACGTACCCACCACGTTTATATTGACAAGTTTTTTTTTTGGAATTTTGGATATTAGAAAGTTACTACCTCTGTCCCACTCACATTGTGATATGAGAATGTGACACGATTATTAAGAAAAAAAATCATGTGATTGACATTAAATTGATAAAGTGAGAATAAAGTAAAAATGATTTAGAACCATACAAACTTTACCATATTTGATAGTAGCATGAGACAATTTTAATGAGATTTCTCAAAAGGAAAAATGGGAGAAAATATTGTCACTAATTAGAAAAACATGTCAACTATCAATGGTCACACCCAAGTGCCCGACTGAGTATACATAATTGTTTCAAGTTGTAACCACCTAGAATGGACCTGACAGGCCGTATGAAAGAGATTCATCAAGAACAACGAAGTGGTTTAGAGATGTTGGATTCACACTTCTCTTTTTGTTTTTGGTGGTCCATTGGACTAAAGATCATGTTTTTATTATTTACTATTTAGGTAATGTAATTGAGTAAGATGAGACTCCTTTTCTCATTGTTTATATTGAAATAAATGTTTTATTTCTTATATGCCGTATTAAACAAGTTACACTTCGACTTACCTGCAGTTATATTTCTTATCAACGTGAGTTATATTTCTTTACACATGAGATACATCACACTGTTATTGGCACAATAAAAAATTATTGTTCACGCGTGTTGTAAGAGTTGGTAGTTGTTTGGTTGAGCACATGAAAGTGAATGGAGGTTTTGTGCTGAATCCCACGCCTTCAACTATTTGAATTGGGACTGATTTTCTTAAGAAAAAATAGTCACAAGGCCATATTCGCCACTTACACCATAACATCAGTTGTGTACTTGTGTGAAACTGGTTATACACCGGTTGATGGACCGTTTCGGGTTAAACAGAAGTTCCCGTCAAACTGGGCAATATATAGTACCGCTCTGGGTTCTAAAACACTGCATATATGTCCGTTCCCAGTTGATCGAAAATTAAACCATTGACCAAACCACACTCATCTGAACTGCATGTCATTGATCTAGCTTTGGTCACAAGAAAATTATAATATGAAACATTTACAGTAAAGCAATTTGATGTTCTCAATTCTAACAAAAACTGCTCATAAGAATCCATAATGCTTACTATCTGCCTCTAAGAAAAACCAACAATGTTCTCTCTTTACCAACCTTTACCAATGAGCCACAACCAGTCGAGCGTAACACCGGCAAATATACCTCCTAGAAGAAACGACACTAGTATATTCCCCAACGCGTTTTGCTCCGGGCCCTGCAATACATGGGCAGCAACAAATCTCCATAAGAATGATCTATGATGAGATGAAGAAAAATGAATTTCCAAGTTCAAACTATACATGTGTGGTGTACGTAGATAGAGAATAAAACTACCAATATTAAAAATAAAAAATGACCCTCAATATAATTGTGTACAATATCAGGAACTCCATTATAGAAACACAGACCATCAACCAACATAAAGTGCCAGATCTTGATGAAAATTATTATTACTATTATATTGTTGTTATAATGGAGGTGCTCATGCGATTGAATGACATATCTCTAGGTGAGGTGATCCATAATAGCAGACTCTATGAAAGTCACAGAATATGTAACTTCTGAGTTTTGGATATTCTCGGGTACCACTAACAAGCTATCCCGGATACTAGTGTTATGACTTGAGCTTCATCACGAAAGGAAAGAGTAGCACAGTTTTATATCTTTTCATTTGACCGGTGCGAAACCGCTTAACAGCTTGTTGAGTCATACCAATCTTGCAATTTGCGATCTCTTTTTTGAGTCATAGTCAGATTGACTATTACTTGAATTTTATGAATTATGATACTATATTTCAATTTGGATTATATCCTAAAAGACTCATGATAGGATGAGTGACTAAGACTTTATGTGTGAAACTGTATCATTATATTGAATGGTGTGAAAAGACTTAACAAAAACTTGGAGCAATAGTATCTTTATAATACAAGAAACTAACCTTGTAGCCTTTGGGAGCAGAAGTAAAGACGCAGACAGTTAGGTACCCATTGGTCAGCCCCAAGAAGGAGGTCAACAGAATCATCCATCCCTGATCACCATATTTTGCCGTAAAATAGAAGGCCGGGATGAGCAAGTAGCGTGAGAGGATTGCGACCATAAGCCCCTTCCTTGATTCGAGCTTTATAAATTTTAATAGCGGGACGTACCTCCCGATGAGATCCCACACATTATACATAGCTATCAGCACAAGTGCATACCTGGAAATTGAAGATAAGAACATCAGTCAACCATCACCATAAGACCGCATTAACTTAATGTGATTTTCTCACCATGAACCCAGGCTGTGGGCCCCGGTATCCTCCGATAGAAATCCAGGAAAGATGGACAATGTCAATGCATATATCATGAAGATCTCTATTGCATAATCTATGTTCTGCATTAATAACTCTTTGTTGCTTAGTCTATCCATCTCTGAGGTAGGATTATTCTGTGCCTGCAATGTAGTGATGTACCTAAATAAATTCTTAGAGTAATAGGTGCAATTTTCACTTGATTTCACTATCATAACAAAACATATTGAAGTTTGCACTCCAGTTTTTCATCCATATCTGAGTTTGCGCTGCATTTCGAAATCGTTAATATTTGCATCCTAAAATTGAGAATATTCACCCTATTATTAGCAGATTCTCTGGCTGGGTGTGAATATTAATTACTTCAAAAATGGGGTGCAAATTTGGATGAAGAAGTGGTGTGCAAACTCCAAATTCACCAAACACATTTCTTGTACAACCTCTGTTATAATGCCACCAGCAGCAAGATCGGAAGCAACAGTCTTTGCACCCTCTGAAGATGCTTTGTTGCGATAATATTTTACAATCGGTATCTTTGGGAAGACAAGTGCATAGAGAAGGATGCAGAGAAACTCAAAGATTGTACAGATTGCAAAAAACAGAACTGCAATTGAAGTTACAACACACTTTAATATTTAATATTCAATTACTAACATTTTAAGACTCAAAAGCAAAAGCTTCAGTCCAAAGCCACTACAGGTATGACAACAGAAATTATTAAAAACAACAAATAAGAGAAACTGAAATAGCATGGGATGGTTGAAAAATTGATAGAAACTGAATTTGTATATTTAATTTTGTTAAGATAAATACAAAATCATGTAAGTAGCTGGAATTTTTTAGTGTTGCAGTCAGATTACTTTCCATCTAAAATGTTTTGCGCATGTTCTTGAAAATTCACGATGATCGCACCACCAGCCATTATAACTATAGAAGTATTTGTCTTGAACAGAGTATCGATTAACATAATAATAACCAATTATTATGCCTATAAATAGGCTCAATAATAACCATTTTGTTTTCAGCTTGATTAGTTCACATAATCACATTGTAGTCTCACCAACTATGCCTATGGTTTGTACCTCCAAATAGGATACAAAACAACTTTTGAGTATTAAAGCTTTGACTTTTCCTATTTCTTCATCTTCTAGTTTTTTTATGTGTACATTAATTGTCTTCAAATTTGAATAAGCTTTTGAACTTCCATGATATATTTAAATTTAAATGAGATTACTAAGAAAGAGAGAATAGACCATACTGGCTCCTTTACGAAGACCATCTTTAGAATTGTCAAATATTGCTCTGGTGATTAACCTCAACCCGGATGTTAAAGCGCCTGAAGCAGCTGAACCAGCTAAAAAAGACTGAAAAAAATTGCACCAAACTCATGTAGTTTACATCCCACAAATCATAAGATGTATGTGTAATGTGTGAGTATATTCATATGTGTATGTACACAAAAGGCTCTTGTGTTGAATGCTTTAATTAATGGTACATCGTGCTGAAAAGGAAAATTTACATTAAAGATAGATTCCTGATCTAAAAGTAATTAATTTAAAGAAAACTGCACTCCTAAGATTCTTTAAAATAAAGACAATGGTAAACTTTGATTAACTACTAATGAATCAATCCCATAAAAAAGTCTGTTTACATACATAACTATTTATGTAGATATCATTTTGTCAAATCTACAATATGTGTGTGGGTGTATTTATATAACACTCTTTATTACTTTATATACATATGTATGTATGTAATACTTATTACTTATAGATGGAAAAACTAACATGTTTAAACAAAAAACAACATGAACAGACCTGAACAAACTCAGGTAACATGAATGAAAGATCTCCAACCATTCCACCCTGGACATGACCGTCTGCAACACCAAAAGCACCACTAATTGCGCATATTCCGATGTACGTTCCAATTCCTCCCTTACCGGATGTGGCCAAATCCAACTTTGGAAAATAATGTGGAAATAAAACATCAATGCAATTACTAACAACTATAGGAAAAAATAGGAGGTGTGTTTGAGGAAAAGAAAGAGAGACTTACAACAAGAACTAGAAGAGTACTAATGAAGAAAAGAGAATATCCAAAGAGATTGCGTTTTCTTGTATTTATTTTTGCCTCGTTGTATGCGAGTATTCCAATTGTCCCAAGTGCAAACGGTTGATAGCAAAGGGTGAGGATCCTTGAAGGGTGGTAGTTCTATGCAAACAGAATCACAATATAATTAAATGCACAAAGTAGTTACTTATATAACTTCAAATGAGAGGAAGCGGTCCAGCTGAGCTGGTCGCTAACTTACTCTCCCTTATGGGAGGTCCCAGATTCAACACCCAATGGAGTGAGTTTAATCTCAGTTTACCCCAGGCCCCCCAGGCCCCCTTCCCCGACCCCCTTGGGTAAAAAAACTTCAAATGCACATGAAAATCTGGAACTACAAGAACCACAAAACAAAGTAACCTGAGTGTAATGAACTGTTTAAAGGTAAACCAGAGAGGTCAATTATGCCCTGAATAATAGGAATTATTACAATCGTCCAGTTATAGTCACCCACCTTGATATGAGAAAAAACAGTGTATAATCGTCAAAATGTTTGTTTTTAGTCACGTATAGATTTCATTAGCACTTTGAAAGCAAATCAATGCAGACAAAAGGAGTAGATGTATCAGACTATCAGTAGTAACCTAGCCTATGTGAAACTTTTCATCCTATTAAGACTTGGAGTTCTTGCTAAAGGTCAGTCTTATGGGAAGAGTAACCAAAGCTTCGGTATGAGATGACTTAGCTTGAAGTTGTCATCATCATCATGATCATTACCGCAGTGCCTCAAAGGCTCCCACCTACGGTGGGGTAAGGGGGGTCGGGTGTACGCAGCCTTACCCCAAGCACAGAGAGATTGTTTCCGGAACTTAGCTTGAAGTTGTATTCTAAAAAAATTATAATTGACCGGTGTGAGATTACTTAACATATCTATTCAAACATCTATCAGTATATAAGGTATATTACATAACATATACCGAATGATTTCAACTAATACTTTCTCATTTCATTATCTTACTTAAGAAAGATTAGTTCATTGCATTAACAAGTGAAAATGAATGCAAACCATAAACTACTACACCCCATTATATTACTACCCATTCAAGCATTCTTCTGGATTACAATCTTGAGTTCCCATCACAAGTGCATGCAACTATTTGAGAGTGCACACGTGTAATTCACAGTTAACACCGTAAAACAATCAAAAATCGATTATCAAAGTGCTTAATAGGACCTGTAATCAATTAGAAAGGAAAAAAACATTACCGGAAACAAGTAGCCATAATAATCTCCTATTGTTAGCATACTGTTCCAAGAAAAGAGGCACCCATTTCCCAGAAGCCAACACACTAGCATTGCCGTAAACTTCCCCTGGGTAACAATATGAAGTTGCATAAACAATTGCATAAAACCAGCCACATAAGTCATACATTACTGCAGTCTGCACTTTGCAGGATTTGGTTACTCTAAACCTCCGTTCTCCAATACTTGTCTCTCTTTCTATTTTGTGATGTTCTCCCTTACATGTCTCCCTTTCTATTTTTAGAAAGTTTTTCAACAAATATACCTATATACCCTCATTATCTTTCCTACTTTTTCATTCTTTTTCCTACTTTTTCATTTAAACACAACCAACTACACATTTTATCTTACCCCTATTAATTTCTTCTCAAAACTTGTGCTAAAGGCTCTAGAGCCATCTAATGGAGAACGGAGGGAGTATGTTCTACTTCGTATAAATTAATAGAATTAGAGCCCGTTTGGTAATACATAATACCCAAATTGGGTGTATTGGCTGATTCTGCTAAAACTTATGAAATTCTGGTTGAAGTGGCTTGGTTTATCCTACTTATTCATGAAAAAATTATATTGAACATATATTTTATTAATTAAATAAACACAAAAATATATGAAAAAAATGATTCTCTACAGTAACTTCAGCCAATACAGCCCAAAAAGTAATACAACCTTACTTTTTCTTATTACTACCACATTCGTGAAATCAAAAGTTACATAACCCTCGTAAGCCGAAAAAAGATGATCACCAAATGGACTCTTAATTACATGAGACAATGACGACCAACCTCAAGTCTTACTGGAGAACCCCCTTCCGTGGCCATGGGTTCACTTCGTTTCCTGTTCTCAAACAATAAAAAACACAAACTTGAGAGAATTTTACAATGTACACATGGTATAGTAAAAAAAAGTACGAACTCTTTTACCTTCACGTATAATATACTCCGTGATATATAAAAAGAAAGAATCTTGAGGCAAAAAGGCACAAGAATTTTGTGAATCCTACAGATATTAAAAAGGTGGGGAGAGATGAAGGGCGTCAGAACTGTTGTAAAATACCTGGAGAGTGGAGTTATAGTTGCTTCAGGCTTCTTTACATATAAGGTCTTTGTCGTATAATGCGTGACCACGTCCTTACCGCCGAAATTCGGGCAAAGTGATTCATACGTAAAGTGCGGGTGGGGTCTTCCTTAAGGGTCTGGCTAAACCCATTAATTAGCCCTTAAATTCTCGGGTCATGAAAATTAAAGACCAAAACAAAGGTCCATTATATTTACTCCGAGTCAGGTTTTCTATAGCCCGGATTTTGTTCGAGTAGGGCCGGTAGATCCGAGTGATAAATCGTCACTTGAACTTTTTATATTTTAAAATCTATTCCCAAATAAAATTATCAAAATTACAAATTATAAATAATAAAATCAATATTAGTCTCCAAAATCACCAACAACTCAAATCTAAATAAAATAATTTATCTTAATTTTGCTTTTAAGATATACTACTTCCGTACCAATGAACTTTGTACTCTTTGAATTAGATGAGAAATAAGAATAGTAAAAATTGTGTGGTTGAAGTTTGTGCAGAGGAGAGAGATGAGTAGAACCACAAATTAGTTACTTTAATGAGAAAGTGACAAAATTTTTTTGGACAATTAAAAGGAGAAATTTGGCAAAGTCCAAAGTACATGCCGACTAATAATTTTTTTACCAGTTTTAGGCTCAAAACAACGATAGCCTTTATACACATATGCATAGCCAAGGAACACACATTGAATAGAACGAGGGGAGCATTTATTAGAGGAAGAAGCAGAGAAATTGGGATAACATGCACATCCAAACTCTTGCAAAAAATTGTAATCAGGGATTTTTTGAAAAAAGTTTTTCACAAGGAGAATGAATGACCAGATAGGAGCGGAGAAGGAAGTCTGTTAACAATATATGCAACAGTAAAAATGGTATCTACCCAGATTGCACTAGGAATAGAAGCAGTAAGCAAGAAGATGGCGATGTTTGCATTCAACCACACCATTTTGTTCAGGAGTATGGGGACATGATTTTTGAAAATAAATGTCATGTTCAGGAAAAAAAATTGCTGCATATTAAAGTTAACAAATTCACCCCCTCCATCTCTTTGAAAAATTTTAATTTTAGAATTAAAAAGATTTTCAACAAGAATTTTAAAAAAATTAAAATGACTAAACACTTCGCTTTTAGCACGCATGGGATAGATCCAGGTAAAGCGAGAAAAATCATCAATAAAACATACATAATATTTATAGTCTAAATTAGAAAGAACATGGGACTGCCACACATCAGAATGAATTAATTGCAAAGGTAAAGAAGAAATATGACTATTATCTGAAAAACGTAACCGTTGAGATTTTCCCAATCGACAAGAAACACAATCATGTGAAAAATAGATAAACTGCAAATACGGTTTTGAGTACGCAAAAGGCGTAAAACATTTTCGCCACAATGTCCTAATCTACGGTGACACACAGGGCCTGAAAGTAGATAAAGTTATGGGTTGAGAGCGGCTGAGGCTGAGTGGATAGACATGTCCATTATGCGGCGCCCAAAGTAGGACCCCCCCCCCCCCCCCCCGAAATTTTGTCTTTGATAAGAAAAGAATTTTTATCAAAAATAATAATACAGTTGTTGTCAGTACACAATTTTTGAACAGAGAGAAGATTATATTTAATTTAATTTGAGACACGTGATAAACAGACTTTAATAGCAAAGGCCGAGGTTTTTAATGTAATATTGCCAACTTGTTTAATGAGAATTTGAGTACCATTCACAACCCTAACAGATATGAGACCAGAATAAGTAGATTTATTATGCAAAATACCTTCTAAAGGAGTCATATGAGCTGAGGCACCAGAGTCCAGATACCATAAAGCATCGTTAGATTCGCGAGCAGGAGCCAGAAGAGCCAGTGCAGATGACTGAGAAAAGCGAGACGGACAATGAAGAGCGGAGTAATCTATAGAAAAATATATTTGACACACAACGGGGGGGGGGGGGGGGGGGGGACAGAGCCAAGAATACCCTCAGCTCATGGGAAGTTTGCATAGCCAAAGTTAGTACCACAAGTAGATTTAGCATGAGTATTTAAAATGGCACCCCTGCGGCCGAACCAACAACAAGAGGCATTGGCAGCTGTTTTCCATGTGCTGGTCGTACACCTGATATTTACGGCCTCTACCGCGGCCGCCTCTCCCGCGGCCGCCTTTGCCACGGCCGCCTCTCCTGTGGTGTGCTGCGGGTTGGCCCTGCTGTCCGAATCCTGCCTGAGCGCCAAAAGCCTGATGAATATGAGACTGATCATGCTGGTGTTGAAAGAGAACGCATTGTTCCGCCTCCAAAAGTCACGGATGAAGAATATGGGGCGGAAAACATTCAGGAAATAGAGATACAGTGCCAACAACAGACTCATATTCGGGACCCAAACCTTGAAGAGTACATCAGAGTAATTCTTTATTCGAAACAAGTGAGTTAATTACAGCCAATGCATCTACCAAAAGTTTTAGATCCCATAACTAATGCTCCATAGACTGAGTTTCTTTCTTTTTATTACTAGACAGAAGGCGTTTAAGTTCCATAGATCGGGCTAAATCGGCAGACACGAATCTAGTTTGTAATCTATCCCAGACACCATCAGAGTGCTTAACATCAATTACATTAATCAAGACATCTCGGTGAAGTGTAGCAAACAACCAAGAGCGAATTGTTTGATCCACTCTCAGCCAGTGATAATATTCTGAATTAATATTGTGTCGATTATTAAAATCAGTTATGTACATGGAAAGTACTTGAATAGTGCCATCAACCATGCCGAAAAGGCTTTGGGAAACCAAGAATGATTTGAATTGAGTGCGCAAGATGATATAATCTTCCACAGTTTTGAGTTTTGTAGTCACAATTTGAGAAACATTGGCAGTAACATGAGATAAGGATTGAGACAAAGTTGTCATAGGAGAAACACACAGAGAGTTGTCCGGGCGGGCAACACCCAATGATCCAACGAAGGTGTTGCCATAGAAGCCAGCAGGGGGCAGCGATAGGAATGTAATTGTCAGGGAAGGAGACCCAATGGGCTGCTGTCATGGAAATTGGGACGGAAGGCTCTCAAACAGTAAATAGAAGCCTAAAACTACCGCGGACAATGGTGAATGGCAGGGGATGGTGGTCATTCCAGGAAACATCACCGACAGCGACACACTTGAACGAGTGGCGCCGGTCTGAGGAGAGAGAGAGACTGATGTTGCTGCAGCGGTGGAAAACTGAACGTCCAGAGCAAATGTCCACACGGTTGAGGAAGAGGACTCCTGCGCAGAAGAAGTTGCAGCAGGGACGGTTGTTGCAGCGGCGGATACGTGAGGATCCATAGCGGCGAGCGATTAGAGAGAAGCGATTTTTTCAGGGATTTCTCTAGGCTCTTGATACCATGTAAAATAATGGGAAATGTTACCCTAATTAGGGTCATGGCAGATATAATTATAATAAAATGGGAGTTTCAAAAATACATAGGATTCCTAATAAAGATAAACTATTACATCCCACTAACATTAGAACATGAGGGGTGACACGATTATTAAGAAAAGAGAGCTTGTGTGATTGATATTGAATTGATAAAGTAAGAATAAAGTAAAAATGACTTATAGTCACACAAACTTTACTAAATTTGGTTTGGAACAATCTTAATGGAACGGAGGGAGTAAGTTTCAACAAGATCAGAAACAGGGCATAAATTCATAACCTTAGTATGTCACGCTCCGGACCGCATCCGTGCCACGTAGACAACCACCGTACAACCCATAAAAAATAACAACAGTTCATCCATATTGAGTTGTACAAGGCGTCCGATTGATTCTATTGCCAAACCGATTAGTAAACACATACAATCAACATCAATATCATAATCAAACCACTGCGGAAATAATAATATGTTTGATACTTAGCCACACGTGGCAAACATGGGCACGCAGGCCCCCAAATGCTTTAATATAAAAACATTGTAAAAAATATCCATGAGCAAATTCCATGTTTGAAAATGAGAATGGAAGCACAAACCAAATCTTCCTTATTTGATGATCACCCTAGGCGAAGGTGCGGGTAGTAGGACTCTAGCCTCAACCTGAAAAATAATGTGGCCCCCGGAGGAGTCAGTACTGCACAAAAAGAAGTACTAGTGACAAGCAGGCTATATGAGGAATAACTAATGTTCCAGACACGAGACCTAAAAATAGGGTGATACATACATATAGGTGTAACTCATCCACCCGATGATACATACCGTATATATATACTAGTAAAATACTTAACCCGTATGTCACTTACATTTAAAGAGTATTTTAGAGATAAAGTCCTTAATTACGCGACCTTTCTCAACTTTGTCCCAAATGCCTAGCTCACTAGCTATATTCTACATCTGTACTATACTACCGAGTGGTTTAGGATCATTTACCGTCCAAGTCACTCAACCCAACCTGGAGTATTTAGGATCATTTACCGTCCAAGGGTACTCAACCCCAACCTGGAGTATTCTGGATCATTTACCGCCCAAGGGTACTCAACCCCAACCTGGAGTATTTAGGATCATTTACCGTCCAAGGGTACTCAACCTCAACCTTATTTCTACCAAATCCTAACCTGGATATGACTAACCTTTTATTCCTTCAACTATAGACAATACCTAGCCCTATAGTCGTGTAATAATCCTTAGCAACCAACGTGGACGGGTCCCACCTGAACGGATCACGTATACTTACTCAAAAACTGCATATTGGGTGTTTTACCCAATACCCGGTCGGGTCTCTACCCATATCCGGTCCGGTGTAGTGAGGTAGTAGCCCCTGGGGCTGTTTTTAACTAATACCCGGTCGGGTATTTACCCATACCCGATCGGGTATAGCCTTTGACTTGGCGGTCAACGTCAGCTTGACCGTCCAAACGAAGTCCGATTAACGTGAAATTTTATACACATGTATTTCTTGACGTCCTTAATCCAAAAATTACCCTTTTGGATCCTTAGAACAGCATACATAATAATTTATCACATTTTTAATCATCAAACATATATAACATGCTTTTTAACTATGTTTTATATATAATCATGGCATAACAAATACTTGTTTATCTTTAATCATTTCATAAAAATATATTCTTGATTACTTTAGGTAATCTCATGTCTCACGCAAAAGTTATAAAGCATAAAGCCGTCTTCTCACCTTAAATGAAGCTTTAATGTGTTCTACCCTTCTTGGTTGAACTCCGGTGAAACTCCGGCGAGCT